TTTATGTATTCTGATGGAACTTTGTCGGCATCATCTAATTGAGATCATAACTGCAGATGGAACTTATTTTGTTGAGGTAGACCGCTTACTTAGACCAGGTGGATATCTTGTCATATCCGGTCCACCTGTGCAGTGGCCTAAACAGGACAAGGAATGGGCTGAGCTTCAAGCTGTGGCTCGTGCCTTGTGTTATGAACTTATTGTTGTCGATAGCAACACCGTAATTTGGAAGAAACCTTCAGGTTCAGCATGTCTTCCTAATCAAAATGAATTTGGAATTGACATGTGCGCCGACTCTGATGATCCAAGTGAAGCATGGTGAACTTCTTGAAATAATTTTGTTTGTTTCTGCTTGTGCAGTCTTCTTTAACACATTTATATGATTACTGTTGTGTAACTTTTATGAAACTGTGGGTGTTACACAACACTACAATATACCACTTTTATTAGAGAAAAATGCCACAAACTTCAAACTTTGTAGAAAAATTCGCATGCTATTAGAAAACTACCTAAATTGCATTAATAACGTTGTTGAAAATGTAAAATACCCTTAATTGTTAAGTAGAGCTAGAGAGCAATGATATAAAGTAAATAAGTAGAAAATCTCCAAAATATGTCATGTGTATATCACGTACCAATTTACGCTAATCTCAGGCGTCTTACTTTAGTGAAAATTGTTTATGGTATTTTTCTCAACTAATTTCGTTGAGGTACTCTTGTCAAAATCCCTAATAGTCATGATAGTTTTTGTGAAATTAACTATACAATTATTTATGTTATTTCAGGTATTTTAAGTTGAAAAAATGTGCCAGTAAAGCTTCCCTCGAGGAGGAAATAGCTGTTGGTTCCATCGCAAAATGGCCAGAAAGGCTGTTGAAACCCTCTGCAAGGGTGTCTCTAATGAGAAGTGGGGTTGATGTGTTTGAAGCTGATACGCGACGTTGGGCTAGACGAGTTGCATACTACAAGAAATCACTTGGCTTGAAGTTAGGGACTCCTAGGATTCGCAATGTTATGGATATGAATGCATTTCTTGGAGGTTTTGCGGCGGCTCTGTCAGCTGATCCTGTCTGGGTTATGAATGTAGTTCCTGCTCGAAAGCCTTTAACTCTGGATGTGATTTACGACAGAGGTCTTATTGGAGCCTATCATGATTGGTAACTGTTTTGGCAGATTTTTTGTTTTTTTAGGTACAACAAAGTAAGGAATTCCAGCAAGCTCCGCAGATTTACTAATCCATTTCCAGTTTGATTAAGTAATGTTTAATATATTGAAATATGACAGTGAAAAGTTAAGAAAAAAGGAAATCCATTGTAGTTCATTCAGCTCTAGTGGATGGTGGATAAGAAGGAAGTCACAATTTATCCTAAGATGGTTAGATTATGAAACAATAACTAAATAAAATTGAAAATGTTTCTGGATGTGTTTAGTGACCCAA